GTAGTATTGTTTGCTAATTCTGTATGTAATTCCTGGTGAGCAGTTATTGAAAAATAACGCGAAACATTGCTTATGGTGGATCTCCTCAAGTTCACTTGTCTTTTCTGTCTTTTATCCTTTTGATCCTTATTCTTGACCACTCAGTGTCATAATCATCATATTTTGAGTATCCACAGAATAGTGCTAACAAACCATTAAGGGTCCTATCCAGAGAGTGTGTACATTTCACCACTTCTACTGTCAGCCTAGAGAGAGGGGGAGAGAGGAAATCTGCATCTTCATTTAGTAGTCCAAAATTAGATCTGTTTATTCCCTTCTTTATTCAAGTCAAGCCAATTTCACCTACGTAGCCCACAACATTCATCACAAAAGTGCCTCAAAGGGCTTTTACAGTCTGTACACCCTCTTCCCTTACACCCATTGGTATGGACAAGGAACTCCACAAAGAAATCCTTTAAACGCAGAAATAATTTAATCAAAGTAGCTACTTGGATTTAAACATCATCAAATTATTGTCTAAATTAAAGTTACAAATTAGTGTAACAGTTAATTTAAAAATGATTGATAGCCATCATCCAACATTAATGAAATTGTTAATGCTACAGAATGCTCAAATTTAAAATCATAATTCTTCTAAATCTTTTTAAATCCATTGAATCCCACATTGCAAGAGCACCATCTTCCTGTTTGGTGCAGTAAATCAACCCAACAGAGATCTTACCAAACTGGACACAGTGCTACATAGTCGTCTTGGCACACATTTTTCCTGAGATTAAACTAATTAATCTGCTAATAATTTATTAATGTTAAAGTACAATGTTAATGTTGGCCAGACTCTCTTTATTTCTTTAGCAGATAATTAGTGACATAATACAAAAGTAAAATGTTTGTTAATTTTGTAATTAAACCTTATCATTCACTTATTGGCAGTATGGCACTGACTTTTCTGCTGACATAGCTGACTTCTGATTGCTGCCTAAAGCCTTCAGCATTTGACTGAGCTTCGTATCTTGGGACTAATGACTACCTAACAGCCTCCTATTCTGTCAAACTAACTTCAGCTTTTAGGATTTGGGATGTGCTGAGTCAGCACTGAAGCACTCAGGAGCAGAAGCAATCAATGTGCAAGAAACAACAGTGGGTCCTGAATTTAAAAATAGGTGTGTAAGCTGTGTGAGGGCTTGTTTAATGGATCCAAAATAAGTTTTTTTGTGGCAACACACAAAATGTAATGTAGGGAGTCAAGGGTACAGTATATTTTAGGTTCAGACCTACTTCATATACAAGTTACGGCAATATTATTTAGTGGTTACATATACTCATTGGTGGGATAATGCTTAATCATTTTAAACGAAAAAATTTCAGATTCAGTAGATCTGAATACAGCCAGGGAAGAAAAAGACTTCCATTTTGTGATGACCTTGAGACATTTAGAACCAGATTGATGATGCATTGTAATAAGAAGTGGTTACGAAGCTCCAAGAGTTCACATTGCACATTTTTGGCTCATACGGCAGCTTTTAAATGTATATTGGAGCTAATGGCTTTTGAAATGATTTTGCAGTTTTCCAGCACTTTTCAGGGAGCTTAGTTTTACTCTTATATACCGCAGGTTTGAACCAGAGCTCAGTAAACACAATATATGAAATACTTGGTCACTGACCTACAATAAGATTTTTAAAAATCTTATCTCTACTGTTGGGTATGTGAGGAAGAATGTAAAGTAGGCCCTACTTTCTTTTTTTCTTTTTATCACTACTTAACACTATTGTCCTTATCTCAGCAAGACTAAGGTCACCATTACAAGTTTAAACCAACTTTGTTATTTATTTTCACATCTGATCCTCGAGTATCTAATAAGACTAATAAGACTAATAAGTCCAATATGCTGTATATTATGTATAAGTTGAAAAACTTCATTATAAGAAGTTCAGTTTCAAGTTTTATGATAAAATCTGGTCGTAATTTGCATGTAATCAAGGAGCCATTTTTATATGGCACCAAAAGTACCTGAGTTTATGTAATAAAACTCTAATTTAGAGAAGAATTTTAGATTGGATTTTAGAGACAAAGCAGCAGGACTCTCAGAGCTAACTGCATGAAAGAGCCTCTAACAAACATCCAAACACTGCAGATGTATGGTTCTGGATTTGAGTCCTGCTGAATCATTGCAGTTAAACTTGCTGTTTTCTTCCAACTATCTGTAACGAAAGAAGCCTTGGAGGATTAGTTAATGCACTGGCAGCATCCCCACTTTTACAGACACTTGTCCACACATTCATCACCTAACATGCTCAGCAAAACACTCATTGACCATATAGCAAATCTAAATCCACATCCAAACAGAAGCAAACCAATCACAGGATGGAAGAAGAGCAACGTGATGACAAGCCATAAGATCTGCTTTCCTAGTAGTTTCAGATGTGTTCACAAATGTTGGGCGGCATTGTACGATCCCTACTTCTTGTAATAGGCCTATTAACCTGTATTTCAATTGCCTATGATTGGAACTCCAAGCTCTTCCAATTTACTAATTAGTTTAGCTAATTAACACTAAGCGCAACACTGTTTAGGCTGATGGGAATGTTGTTGGTTTCACAGAAATATTTCCCTGAGGGGATGAATGTGTGTACCAAGATTCAAAGAAATGCATCCAAATCCACAAACCTCATGGTGGCATTAGAGAAAAATTCAGGGGATCACAAAAGTCATTAGGATTCATCCTCTGGGCACCATGAATGTCTGCAGTTTTTGTGATATTTCAGTTTGGACCAAAGTG